AAGGATCATCATCGGGGATGGACACTACTACTAAGGGTTTCCTCAACAATAAATGTCCTAAAGGCAACCATGAGGGGGATGGAGTACACCGGTGAACACATCGTTCACAAACACCTACAGGTTGCGAGCCTGCTAGCGTTCCACTGGACTGTCTAGAAGAGTCCGTGGTCGTCATCTATACGCTGCTAGATGACTGGATCACCAACAACATCGAGGCCTCTCATCATTTTATCACACATCGTCTTATTACATCTACCCATGTTTTACCCCAACATTTTTGTAGATATAAAATACATATACAGTTTAAATCATGAAAAACGTGTATAAAAATCATTCATCCAACATAGACAGCAAGTGTTCAGATAATATGCACACATAGCACGTAATTTATATAAAATACTTCATATCTATGTGTAAGATGAAAGTAACTATGCACTCACCTAATTAGGTGGTGACTTGGCACTTGAACAACACTTCGTTATCTCAAAACAATTTTTCCTTGACCAAAACCTAGTATCAATACCACTAGAGTTTAGTTTTAACGTTAACCGCGACTAATTAATAGTCTAGCTATTATTATTATTATATAAGCGTTAAATAACACTCAATATAACTCATAATAATAGCCCAAACAATTATTTTAAGGGCCTAATAACATTACTATAATTATTTAAAAGTTATATAAAAAAATTGCGTAGGCGTAGCTCACTTACATCGGATTTTAAAGAAAACCGGGCTTTGCTCGGAGCAGCGTTTCCGAACCGAAAGACCTTTTTTCTCGGGACTCCGGGAGCCTCGGGGCTTCCTTTGGGTGCTAGGGATTTTTCCTAGGGTTCAAGGGGGTTAAAGGGGGTAGTGAGAGAAAGTAGAGAGAGAAAGAGTTGTGAAAATGAGTGATTTCCTCGGCAGCCCTCGCAGGGTATTTATATGGTCGGAACTTCGGATCTACGCGGGGCGTTCAGCAAGTTACGTGGGGCGTAACTTCGGATAAGGGTGCCAGCTCGCACCAGCTGGCTCACACTCGCAAGAGGATCAGGTCCGAAGGTACACTGGGCGTACCAGCCTTGGACGCGGGGCGTAGGGCGAGGCTACGTGGCGTTCATCGGATGCGAGGCCGTGCTCAGCAAGCGACGGCTGAGATTTGGCCACGTCACCACCCCCTTGCAGATTTCGCAATTTTCCTTCCCGACTTCTAAAAATCATAACTTTCGCATACGAGCTCCGTTTTCGACGTTCTTTATATCCACACGTAGGCGGGAACGTAATCTACAACTTTCATTTAGACTCCGTTAGCTAATTTTGGCTTTATTTTAAAAGTTATATTTTTAACAGGCCGGGACATGATTGGTCCGTTAAAAATTCATAACTTCTTCATCCACGTCCGTTTTCGTCTGTCTTTTTATCGTTATGCTACTATTAACGAGATCTTCGATTCTAGTTTAGGTTGTGTTGGCTAAAAACCGCTCGATCTAATTTTCGAACTTCGGGATGTACACTGCTAAGCCGAAACTTCGAAAAATCATAACTTCCTCATACGAAGTCAGATTTGGGCGTTCTTTTTATGGAAGCTCTCGGTTTAACGTTTTCTACGACTTTCGTTTAGATCACTAAGGCTAAAAATCGCTTTATCGTAAATTCGCTATTTACGCTTCCCGGTGTCGTGCCGGTTCCGTCACGAAACTTCGACGGGTCATAACTTCTTCGTTATAACTCGAATTTCGGCGTTCTTTATATCCCCAGAATCCTTGTTTCGACTACTACAACTTTATGTTAAGATATCGGGTTTATCTCACACTTTAATTTTGACGTTTATTTTTATTATTTATTAATTATACATTTATAATTAAATAATAAGCACACACATAATTCACATAGCATTCAAATATTTCATCTTTATTACATCAAAAAGAGTTATAATAGTTGACCTAGACTATTACATCGTCTAAAAATGCTTAGCCCCGAAACCCGGGTGTTACAAGTAATTAGTTGGGCTTTAGGGTAAGGCCCATATAAAGGATTGGGCCCAATTTGGAAAATTGGGCCATAGATGGGCCATAGTTTGGGCCTAGATGGTTGTATGATATTGGGACCTTAGAATGAGACATGTTGGACTGGACTGAACAATTGGGCCTTAAGGGAAGTCCAAGTAGAGGTTTGGGCCCAATTTGGAAAGTTGGGCCATATGTTGGGCTTTGATCCCTAGTTGACTTTGGGCCTATGGATTGGGCCTTGGGCTTGGGTAAACCAAGCTAGGGGTAATGTAGTAATTATCAAAAGTATGTATTTATAGTTATGTAGTGGAACCCAATTATTAATTGGGTGTTATTTTGATATTGACAGATCGGGAATCTGTCATCTAGCAGCTATGGTTTTGTCAGCAGGACTTCAGCAGTGTGAGGTGAGTTTTCCTCCAGTAGGAAAGGGTCTAAGGCACCAATGCCGGCCCGTTTATATATTGGTAGTATACCGGGGTTAGCCCGATGCAGTCTATATGTTTCCGGACTTCGGTTCGATGCCGGGGTGGTCCCAAGAAGTAGTTCAGTATGCTTGATGTCTTTGTGATTCAGGCATGTCTAGGTGTTATGAGTTCCGGACTGCGGTCCGATGCAGTATGCAGTATATGTGTTTATGTTATATGTTATGATTATGTTATGCTATTTTCAGTAGTTCCGGACTTCGGTCCGATGCAGGGGCAAGGCCCTAGTTAGTTCCGGACTTCGCTCCGATGTATAGGCAAGGCCCAAGTCAGTTCCGGACTTTTGTCCGATGCAGTGGGCGAGGCCCAAGTTATTCCGGACTTCAGTCCGATGAAGTGGGCGAGGCCCAAATTATTCCAGACTTCGGTCCGATGCAGTGGGCGAGGCCCAAGTTATTCCGGACTTCGGTCCGATGCTGTGGGCAAGGCCCAAGTTATTCCGGACTTCGGTCCGATGCAGTGGGCAAGGCCCAGTATTTGCTTTATGTGTTATTGTATGGTATGTGGTAGTTTGGGGGAACTCACTAAGCTTTGTGCTTACGGTTTTCAGTTTTGGTTTCAGGTGCTTAAGTTTTCAAAAGAGGAGCTCGGGAAGATTGCAGTGCACACACCATTTGTTCAGCCTGGGATGTTTATACTCTAATATACATGACAGTTGTTATATTATTCTGAGATACATTGTTGTGATTTTTCTATGACGTATGATGACTATGGTTTTCTTACTGATTTAAAACGAAATTTTCAGACTGTGTTTTTGGGGATGTTTCACATAGCAATAAAGATCAACGGACAACCAATGAATGAGTAGATAAAGCCTTGAATTAGAATCAAAGATGATATTTCATGATTAATCCCAATATCCGTAGATGTTGAGAGGTTTTCCATAAGGTGAACAAATCATATCAAGAAATCGTAATGAATGTTCATTCATTTGTTGATTATAACAGTATACTTTAACTTTTTTTTTCTTATTAATCCATTGTACATTGAAAATCTAGCTATTTATAGCATTGTACTTTCACGGTTTTTGGTTATTAGCACAATATACTTTAGAAAACGGTAAAATAAAATACAAATTACCCTCTTTGGGTCGTGCTTAGCACGGGCCTCAAACTTTTCTAATATATATATATATATATATATATATATATATATATATATATATATATATATATATATATATACACACACACACACACGTTTACTATGAAATAAGTGTTTTTTTATAAATATGTGTTTGCATACAAATGTATTTATAATAAAATAGGTGTTTGTATACATTTATTTTTTATAAAATACATGTTTGTATACATTTGTTTTTATAAAAACAGATTTTTATATATTTATGTACTTAATAAATACCTATTTTTATAAATAGGTATTTCGTATACAAAAACGTTTTTTTTTTTTTTAAAAATTATATAGAAAATATATGATTTTTATGGTAATATATATATATATATATATATATATATATATATATATATATATATATATATGATTTTATAAAGAAAAAACATATTCGAAACAAAATTTTGAGAAAAAAAAGTTGTAAAAACAACTAAAGTTATGATCAATTCATAACAAAATTCTAAATTTTGGGCCAAAAGGGTAAATTTTGGACAAAATTTGTAATAAAATTTAAAATCTAGGCAAAAAGTGTAAATTTTGGACCAAATTTGTAATAAATTTTGAAATCTGGCTAAAATATAATTTTTGAAAGTTGGATGACCTGGGTAAAATGGTTAAATTGAATGCAATTACCGATTTTTTGGGACTTAATTGAAAAAAAAAGATATAAAGACTAAATCGATTATGAGACCAATATATAAGGACTTTATTGCAGTTTTCCCTTTCTATAATTTATGTAATGTGTCAGTTTTCTTTGTATTGGTAATGCATTTTTTGTAAAAAGAACATTTTTTTTGTAAAAAAATGTCCTGATGATCATCATTAATTTTTTTCTCAAACAAGACTTTTAAACCTATATTGTGATAAAAGTATAAATTAATAATTTTTATAATCTAACATGTTTCATGTTTAAGCTTCAAATTAACTGTCAAGATTATTTTTTATAATGTTGGTAGAAAATGCATAATTGATCAATATGAGTTATGTTATTTGTATGTGGTAAAAATAGAAATAACAATATTTTTTTTTTTGATATATATGCAACACATATACACAACCCCCCCCCCCCCCCCCCACACACACACACTCACACAAGTTACTAATCATACAAATAGATACTAAAAAACACATTAAAATCAAAAACTAATTCTGACACATTTGTTCTTGAGTCTTTTAACATATGTGATGTTTTTAAACACACCATGGCCATCTTCGAACATAAGATATATCGTTATTTGTATGAACTTTAAATTTTTATTGTTTAAACTCAGTATTCTTGTGAGTTCATTGTAAGTAGTACTTATTCATTTAGTAATATTGGACTTATTGTACATTTAATACATTAGACAAATCAAATAACAATACATGTAACATGTATTTGCTACAATAACCACTAAAGTTTGTGCAAAATCAGTTGAGCACCAAATTGAGGTTGTAGAGAGATAATAGTATGTGGAGCATGGGCGTATGATGGAGAAAGCTCGAAGGAGAAGCATCTTAGAATCATAACAAGTGCCAATTTCGCTTCCAACATAGCAAAGTTTTGCCCAATACATATACGTGGACCCCCTCCAAAAGGAAAATATGATGCTTGTCCGTTTGTTGCCTTTAACACACCTTCTGCAAATCTCTCAGGCTTGAACTTTGTCACGTCATTACCCCATACATCACTATCATGATGTAAAAGCATCATGTGCAATTGCAGGAGTGAACCTGCTGGCAAAGTTATGTTTCCTAATGTAGTTTCTTCATGAATCATTCGTCCCAATATTGTACCGGGTGGGTATAATCTAAGTACCTCGTGCAAAATCATATTAATCTGCAAACAAAATATTAGTATATTATTCTTGTGAAAATTTATTATAATAAAATGTGACCAACTTTTCCTAGAGTAGTTAATTGCTAGTCACTTTTAATTAAAACTCAATAATCTATAAGTGAGGTCATACAAACTTTGCTATGGGCCCGGGCTATAATGATTAACCTTCCTTATGAACTCCAAGACTTAGTTTGATATCAAAACAAACTTATCTAATATCTATTATGCGTTTATTTTGGATAAAGCGATGAGTAAACGGTTTCGTAAATCCTAGGACAGAAAAACTTACAACTTTTAGATGACTTAGTCCATCAATATCCGGTTTTCTTTCTCCAAACACCTTTAAAACTTCATCTCTAGCACGGTCTTGCCAATTTGTGTGTTGACCTAACAAAATCATTGTCCAGACAAGTAAATTTGCAGTGGTTTCTTGGCCTGCAAAATAGAAGAGTTTGCACTCTTCAATGACTTCATCAATACTAAGTCCAAAATTTTTATCCCCTTGTTGTTTGATCTCTTTGTAGTTCGAATCCAATAATATGCCCAATAAATCATCACTACTACTTTCCCCTTCTTTCATTGTTGTCACTCGTTTATTAATAATAATTTTTGTTATTGAAGCCTTCACTTCTCTACCAATCTCCTTCATCCTTCGATTGCTCTTTGTAGGCATAAATCTAAAAACTCATAATTGCTCAGGCCTTTTTGTACTAATAATTAAAAAAGAAGGTTACAAGACCGAAAATATTAACGGAAAGCATACTCACTGAGATCCTGGAATATACAACGATTGTACAATCTTCATAAGTAGCCTTGCTTGTTCTTTTTGAAGCTCAAATATCTTTCTTCCTTCCTGATAGCTGCTACCAAATGCCGTACGTGAAATTACATCACTGGTGAATGTTTGGAGATGAGGATACACATCCACTTCACATGATCCTTCTTTAGTTAATTCTTCCCATTTGTTGATCATCTCGTCACAGCTTATGTAAAAAGCAGGTATCATATGCTGCAAAAGGAACACCGAATCAGTTTTACATGTGGGGTAGGCTAGAAGTGAAAAAGTAATTTGTTGGCACTTTTGATCTAGTAACTTAGAAAGAAACATCCATGAACCTTGAGCTTTTCGACATGGAAGGCAGGGTTGATGATCTTTCTATGTTTTACCCATTGATCAGCATCAACACTTGCAATCCCTCTTGCCAGCAACCTGGTTAATGGATTTCCTCCTTTCTGCTTTTGAAATTTGTTATAATTACCCAAAATCTCTCGTATCAGTGCAGGTTCTGTTACGTGCACCACAGCTCGTGGCCCAATCCATGTAAAGAAGGCTTTCCCTTTACCTGTTTGTAAATATATATTCTTACTCTTTCATTCAACAACTATATATATATGAACTATGACAATGATATTTATCAGCTTTCTTCAATATATATAAATATATAGCTAGTTACATACCATGAGTCTTAAGGGTGTTATGCATAAATGGCATGACACGTGGAACGATATTGTCTGTAAGATTTATGGGTTTCAATTTGGCATTGGCTGTCATCTGTACCATTTCTTTCACATCTCCAAACAGAAATTTGTAGGAATTTCCGTTCAGACCTTGTTCTCTCAGGAACTTTTCCATCTTCTTTGGTTTCAACCAAATCCAGTTGAAAATCCTCCATGCATATACCATCATCATCACTCCGACACCACACAGCACTGCCTTCATATTTAGGCTTACCTCCATTAATTTCCAGAAGGGGGGTTTACCAATAAGTTTTTATATATAGCAATCTAGTCAAAGAAGAATTGTGGTGGTTTTCAGTGTTGACGTTATAATTAATGAACGGATGGATTCTATATAATGACGCATAATTTTCAATCAAAATCCCTCCGGTTTGAGTTGTTATGGTTAAGCACCATATGTTGTGATTGTTTATCAATAGTCACCCCAAAACAACAAAAGTAAAAACAAGGAAACAGTGTTGTAAACTAATTAGTCTGTGGGGAGTGGTCAGAGCCAAGCCACCGGAAAAATGCTGCAAACTCAGCGTCACGTCAACTCCACCAACAACTCACTAGACATTGGAAATGATTATCACTCCACCATTTTTTTAATTTTTTTTATGATTAAATTAAATAAAAAATATAATTTAAAATATAATAAAATATTTTACATTAATTGAAACCACATTACACTAATTAAAAAACATAGAAAACTAAACCTAAAAAAATAGAAAACCAAAGCTAAATTACTAAAAAAAAACATAAAAAACATAGAAAATTAAACCTAAATTACTAAAAAAAACATAAAAAACATAGAAAATTAAACCTAAATTACTAAAAAAATATATAAAAACATATGAGAATGTTTTTTTTAAGTAAAAAATATATGAGAAGAGAATGTTTTTATAATGTAAAATGTTAGTAAAATATGATATATTTATAGTTATATTTGATAGGTTTTTAAATTGAAAAAAGATTTTTTTTGTAATGTGCAACAGATACAAATTGGTCAAAATGACCGTTATCACTTTCCTCTTCTCCATTGGACGTCTCCTTCCGTCTTTGGAGTCACGCCCCGACCAAAGCACCGACCTTAGGGGCAGTGTTCACGCGTCTCCAATGATGCCAACTCAGCATCACGCGTGAGTTTGTATACCCACTCCGGGCAGCCTTAAAAATGGGCTTAGATAGCCAACTAGGTGCTAGTCTTTATTTGACTGAACAGCCAGCGGCTAACGCGTTCAAGATATTTGTAGCCAAAAGGTCAGACTAATAAGTTTGGTATAACGTACCATGTGTTTGGTACTGTCCGCATGCTCACTTCGACTACCCTAGCATGCGGTCCTATTCCGATTATTGTAGTTATTATATTTTTCGAAATTTTTAGCATAAATTAGAAATTTAATAAATTTGCATTGCTAGAATAAAAGTTATAGTATAATTTTATAAATTGAATTCGTTTTCATGAACTTTTATAGTTTGTTGCCATTTTCACGTGGTTTATAGGACACACAAGGATCTAATTGAGATGATATAATGAATTTTGGATAAACAAACAAAAAACAAACCTTTATGAACTAGACTTGTAGGTTAATGATAAGTCCAGGTACCAAAATTGTGATTTACTCTTATCTAAAACTAGAATATATAAAACACTGGTATTACGACATAAACGATATTTTCAAGGCCAGATGCACGATGAGACGATTACAACGACGTAGTAAGCCTATATATCACAAGAATCGTTTCTAGAAGAAAACATTGTCTTGTATATTATTTTAATCATGAGTTAATTTTAGTATTTGGCACATTTGATCCGGTCGATCAATAGAAAACACAAAGACGTTGATTTGTATAGACAATCTTACGTTATAATGTTATATGGTTGTATTTTACTCATGATATGGACGACAACAAGACAAGGTTTCACAATAGACAATAATATTTGTAACATCGTTGAAAGAAATTATTAAACGTATAATTTACTTTCATTTATATCAAACAAGTGTTTAAAGTTATTATTCTACGATTCAATTTTAACTTAGATTTAGACGTGCTTATAAGAAAGGTGATACAACTTGAAATGCTAATCAGTATGACTAAAATCGTGTTAGAATTTAGGGAATCGGAAATAGCAATAAATGCAAACTTTGATAGATTTAAGGATCATGTTTTCAAACACTTTTTGGAATCTGTAATTCGTTTCTTTTGCCTGGGGTACACGAATTCAGAAGTCGGATAATCCAAGAATGAACCAATCCGAATTACAGGCCTAATTCAGATTGTGAAACACAGAATACCTTGCTTAATGTTTTCTTGAGAGATAGAGAAAAACTTAATGAATAGATTTCGAGTATATGTTTTGTAACCCTTTTTTTTTGGAACATAAAGCATGTTCTTATACAAGAGGGAAATGTGGTTATTGGTGGTTATATGCAGATTTGGCGCTAAAACAGGTAGATATTGGACATAACCAACACCTACATCATCATGATGTCATCAAATGAGTTTTGGCGGGAAAATGCATCGGTTGGTAGGTATTGGACCCCGTTAGGGGCCCTATCCCTTAGAACCCTGTACCCAAGGACGTTGCCCCCGGACCCTCGTATCCCAAGCTCATATTAATCACTCCAGTGTACACCCTGCACCTCCAATCTCGGTGAGTGAAATAGAACTCAACCTATCTCAAGATTAATAATAATTACACCAAAATATGTTGATAACACTAAAATCACCAACAAATCTTCTTACCGATATCTTTGTTTTTTCACTTCTTAGGAGATAATAGCTCCAATAAAAGTAATTAGAAAAGGGCATATTTGATTGTCTCAATGATCAAGTACTTTCCTTATGTTTTTGGTCTTCGCACATTTCTCTGTTTAGAAGGTTTGTTTGAAGGTCCTACACACGAGGAGATTAAGTTTCTTGCCCACCGCTTGTTCAATGAAAGTCCTCAACAACTGTTTTTTTGATTCACAACAAAGGATTGACCCCATTTGTTGAATTCAAAGGGTACCAAGATTGTTGTACAAATTCATGGCTCCTTAAATGGGAATCAACAAAGTTATTAGGAATAATAACTTTAGTCCATAGAGGATTAAAATATGGAATTTGAGTTCGTCTTTCCAGTATGAAACAATATTAATGGTTGAAATAAAACATATATGCAACAAGAAGATAAGGAACATTTGACGATTTCATTGTTTTTATTAGGTTTTATACGAATTATAATTGGATTATGACTTCATTGTGGAATGAAGAGTAAGTTTAGTTGGAATGAGGTCCAAGCAAAGCATAAGGACACAATCTACTACAAAATAAGAATACACTACTTTTGAAGTTGAAATCAAATATGATTGGATGAAAAAAAATCATTGAAAAACTATGTTGATTTCTGCCATTCAAGGATCACATAGAAATCTTTTTGACTTCGAGAGTACACTTAATCAAGCTAAGAAACTATATGCCACGAAAGAAAACCAATCATATACTCCAAAATATTTAATTATACCTAGAGTAAATTAAAATATGGAGATGATGGTATTCACGGAATTCACACAAATTAAATTTAGTCAAACCCATTAATAAAGTCTTTCCTTTTGAGCTAAGTATGAGTAATCACACTTCAGCCACAAGACTTTATTATTCTAGAAATTGGATTTTAATTTGGATTTAGTATTTGGATATTGGAACATTGTAACAACAACTATTACATAGCGTTTTGATATACTGGGATATGATCATCACATTAATAACTTTTGTGTTCTATATTAACATGTTTAATACATGAATAATCTTATTATTCTAGAAGTTCATAGTCGGTGTAATTGTGGGAGAAATTATGAAGTAAGACTAATATGAATTGAATTGGTTGACTCTCACTAGATGAAAGTAGGCAAGTGGTTGTAACCAAGTTTCATAGGTACTTGTTAGAGAACTAATACCGAACGGACCTGCATCAAGATCAACTCATAGATCGCAGTCATGAGTGACACTTGATTAAAAGGTACTATCTTTGTATCCTTAACACCTGAGATACATAGTGGGACTTAAGTGTAGGGAGTACTGTGCTTTGATATCGTCAAATGTTGATCCTTAACAGGGCAGTTATAAAAGTCATTTTCAGGTATGGTGTGAACTATGCAAGAGGCTTTTGTAGCCAAGATGGGATTTGTTCCTCTTATGTGTTGAGAGTTATACATCTAACGCGCGTTACCCACAGTTGAATTACAAATGAGATTGATTGCAATCCAAGGCTCATGTTCAACAGGATGTCTGTAACAAAGGGATAACTGATAAACTTACCTTAATACATCAATTGAAGCATGGAGCTTTTAGGAATTGGATGTTAACGAATGGAAATCTTCGTCATATGTTATTGGGGGCAGTGAAATTTTAACATCCCAAAAATCGAGGGTAAAAATTTCATTTTTAATATATAGATTCAAACATCCATTTACATTTATCCAAACAATAAGGTATTCCCAATTAAAACAATTATCAGAGTAATTCCCAAAATCATAAGTTGCGGAAAAACATAGGTGTGTGCGCTGCAATCAAGTCAGACCCTTCCCTTTCGAACCGGAAATACCTGAAACCATAAACCACAAACTGTAAGCACAAAGCTTAGTGAGTTCCCCAAAATACCACATACCATACATAACCATGAGCCAAACATGTCAGACATATCCAATCAATCAATAAAAGTGCTATGTGCCAACCATAGTCTTGCCATTATGCCACGAGCCGCCTCGTGGTCTTACTTGCCAGGTTGGGGGCCACAACCCTGGGTCTTATAGACAAGTGACAGGAGCCACCTCCGGGTCTTCCATGCAAGCATCACAAAGACAACTAGCATACAATCTACACTACTTAACTGATTAACTGCCAGAGTTCAGACTCTGGTCTTGCATACAGTTTGCTAGGAGCCGCCTCCTGGTCTTTCATACAAACTGCCAAGGGTTACCCCCCCGGGTCTTCGTACAATACATAAACCAAATGGGTCGGCATTGGTGCCTTTGACCCATAGATCAGTGAGAAGACTCACCTCGAATGTAGAAGTTTATTGAAAGAAATCCCTAGCTGTTGCCCTGACGACTCCTTCAGGCTATCAATACCAAGATAACACCCAATTAGCAATTGGGTTCCAAACTATGATCCATAATCCATACTTGGGGTAAAAGGACCATTTTACCCCTAACCCAATTTTGAACCAAAACTGAGGCCCAAGTCCAACAACCA